AAAAATGAATATCCCATCATAATAATAAATTATTAAACAATTACATCAAGTGCAAAAACAATAACAACAATGAAATAAGAGAAGAAAAAAATATTAATAAAAATGCAATTGAGATTATAATAATAACTCTCCCTTAAACAGCCAATGTTTGATTAATAATATAGAACTAATGATATTACATATAACAACCAGCAAAAACAATATATAGGATCGATGGAGACAGAGTGAAGTAAAAAAGATTTTACAACCACAAACTAAGCATTACTAACAAAAAGTGTAAAAACAATACAGCTCTCTCGAAATATTATTTGAAACTAAATGACAGTAGAACTCAACCCATTATCACATGGAAAATGTTAGTAACTTAAGGAAGGTTACTGAATAGAATAATCAAATGAAGGTTGGTAATGAATGATAATACTTAGGACAAGAACAACACACATAAGATTTGCCAGCGGCGTATCGAAGAAGTAGTAAATTGCTAAAAGTGAGCTAAGTGAATTTCACAATGAATCTCCAACTGCAGGATATCTACTAACCACCCCATGTGGTTAGATGTGGCACAAGGCTGAATTTAATGTGGGGTATCTGACCCCATATACTCGGCCAAAGATTCCCTGCAAACCCAATATAAAACAGGGTCAGGTAGCTGTTTCTCAAGACAAGACTCAGCCCTTTGACATAGCCTCGTCTGGGGATCCTCTCTGCTCAGTGGCAGAATGTTTGACCAGCACAGCTGGAAACGAAACTCTAACTGCAGACCAACATACAGTATTACTACTGTATTTATGTGAATGGGGTCATATCCATTATCGTCCATAGGTATGCTACAACAGTTAGTGAGAACTAATTCCTACGATGACAATGGAGAAAAATGTAACCTTTGCCTTTTAGAAAAATTGATCATCCTAATAATTAGTGACAACTCTAATTTACTAAATCAAAGAAATGAATTAAATGATCACATACAGACATAAAAATAAATATCTTTTTTTCTTAATGTTGAACCAGACTGTGTACCAACAATCTCTATGCTTGTTTTATATATATGATAAAATTATAGTTTTAAGCCATGCTACATTTATGGGTTAAAGTACTCAATATTAGGAATAGAGTGGACATTGAGGTCAACACCCAGCAGCAACAGTCTGTTTCATGCTATCACTATAAATTGCCAGTATCAAAACTCATTTTATGTATGAATATATATTTGTTTGTATATGTGTATTTCTGTATGCATGTATGTATTAATTTATAGCATGTACATTTACCTATGTGTGACTTGCAGTGAGCACAAAATAATAACTCCCTTCACCCACTCTCTTCAAATTCGAAGAACTGATGAAAAAGAAAGAAAAGGATTTGTGAGCCTGTGTGAAATTGTTTTTGGACTAATGAAAACCTTGCCTTCACAGAAATTAGTGGTCAGCCAAGAAAAAAGAAGAAAAAAAGTAACAAGTCTACACAAAATTATTTCAATATAAAATGGAGAGAAGAATTAAATTAATTAAAGAGTATCTGAAGTCACGTGAAAAGTTTTGTTTCAGTTGCTTGTGACCTGCATTGAAGTTCTTGCAAGTGTAAAATTATTCATCAATTATATTATCAGCCTCTAACCAAGCATGTGGCACTTCAAAGAATTTTTTCTTAATAATCCAAGAAAGCTCTATCTCTCTTTGTTTGTTTTTTGAAAGTATGACCATATATCCCTTTGATGAGCAACAAACTCTCTTATCTCTTTGTCTTAAACATTTTTGAATATTATTTTGTGTCTGATCATTTAATTTGTCATATGAACATTTCCTCTTCATGACAATATTTTACAACAGACTTTAAGAATTCTGATTTATTTTTTTGAAATGAGCTACTGACACAACTTCAGGTGTGTAAATTTGTAAATAAATTCCTTATCTTGTTTTATTAAAATCCCCTGTGTTTTTCACCATTATTATCAATCTTCATTAATCTTATTGTTGTGCGTAAACCAATAATACCCACTCCACTATAGACTATACTTATATTAAAATAGAATAAAAGTTAATATTCTCATGATTAAAAACATATGAAGTCTCTTTACAAAGCAAAAAATATATAAAACTTTTTCGCTGTTAATGTGGAATTGAAAATTAATTCAAATTGTAAAAACCAAATTCTTACACAACCTTTTGAAATTTATTCCTATTGTAAAATGGAAAGTTTTAAAAGTTTAGATTTAAAGGAAAGCTTTTATTGATTCTAAGGTCAATTTGAAATGTAAACTCAACCTGGAAATGTCAGAGCAAATCAAAAATTAAAAAAAAATCATATAATGTTGAGGAGACTATAATTAATAAACAAAGGGTATACACCAAAATTAAACAACTTTTTTTGAAAAGCAAATATTGATTTGGAGTTGAGTGAATTCGTGGAAGAACAAAGAAATGGATGCATTTTTTGAATCAAGTAGTGATATTGAAATGTCGATTTGCGAAACAGTTATTTATAATGGAATTTAAATACCTATCTAACTTCCATTCACTTACTTCTGTTCTTAAATTACCGTGTGCAACTTTTAGTGACATTAATCCCATGAAAGTTTGAATATAAAAATGTAATTTCACAGTTTTTTCATTGTACTACTTTGATTAACTTGAGCAAGGCAAAACTAGCTCTCTTCTTAAAAACTAAAAAGTTATTTAACTGAATATGCTTTACGCTACAGTTAATAATATCCCACCTTATGTTAGAAGAGAATTTTTTTAATATTGCTGTAAATCTTCTAACCAAAGAATTTTTAGACATTCCCTTTTTTTGTGGATGAAATATTAAAACTGATATTGGGAACTACACCAATAAAAATTTTAAAAGTTAAAATGTTTTGACAATTATCAAAATCATGTGGACTTTAAAATTATTTAAAACCTATCTGTGTGCTTCTGACAAAAATACACCAAATTGTATTAAATGTTAAAGTAGTTGTGGGAAAAGTACATCCTATTACTGTTTTATTAGATGAGCAATTTAATTAAATCTGACCACTTCCACAAAGTGAAGTCTAACTTGTCCAAGTTGAATTATAAACTGGCATTCTTATCCAATGACGACAGTGACCAAATAAAAATCCAATATCTTTTACAAGTAGATATTTTTTAATTTATGGAAGATTCTAGAAAATTATTAAAAATGTATGAATGGAACAGAATGGCAGTTCATGACTGGAATTATATTTTTTGGAACTAGCGAACACTTCCTATCAAGAAATTTATTCCTATTGTAAAATAGGTTCTGCAGGCATCCAGAATAACTACCATACAATAATGTGATGGATCCTAAATTTACATATCCTGAACTTTTTCCTGACACATTTGGAACCATCTACACTCTACAGTCATAAGAAAATTGGAAAAAAATGTTCAATGTAGATTTAGCTACTTCTTCAATTGACAAAGATGAACTTGTCAGTGAATATGACAAAAATAAAATATAGAAATTTAAAAAATCTATTGAGTTCAAAAATAACTGAAATAGACTACTTCAATGTTTTAATAGTAGGTTATTAATATTAATATTTAAATATTACAATGATCAGTTTTCAATCAGTACCTGAAGATTGCTGCATGCATGAAACTCAAATTTGTACCAAATGGCAAGGAAGAAAATGTATAGTTATTATTAATAGTAATAATTTTAGCTCTGTTATTTTATGTAGAGCACTTTTATTATCACCAACACTCATTGTGTAATATTTTATACTTATATAATCTATATAAAGATAACAAAAAATAGGAAAAATGGTAGTCAGTTGCTAAAACCTAATAAGTGGACTGAACAATTACAAAAATGTTTGTTTATGAAACTCTGGATTTGAGGTGCTGAATATAACATCAATCAGCTAAATGAAAATTTTCATTGGTTAATCCTATATTCACACACACAAACACACACACATATATATATATATATATATATATATATATATATATATATATATATATATATATATGGGCAGCAATTATTAATTTATACACATATTAAATACAATGGATATGCTGAACTCAGTCATTTGTTCCTTGCACAAGTGAATTTATATGAAAATCTAACAAAGTATTTCTTGTCTGTCATATTTAGTAATAGATGTGTGTGCATATATACAGTGTATCACAAAAGTGAGTACACCCCTCACATTTCTTCAAATATTTAAGTATATCTCTTCATGGGACAGCACTGAAAAAATTACCTTTTGACACAATGAAAAGTAGTCTGTCTGCAGTATATATAACAGAGTTAATTTCTTTTTCCCTCAAAATAACTCAAAATATAGCCATTAAAAGCTAAATCCCTGGCAACAAAAGTGAGTACACCCCTTAGGAAAAGTTGTCAATATCAGCATGTCATATTATGTCAACTGTCAATATTTTGTGTGGCCACCATCATTATCCAAAACTGCCTTTACTCTCCTGGGCATGGAGTTATATAAATAAAAAGAAAGAACGGTAAGATATATAATCTGGTGTTCTTGTTATTTTTTAATTTTATTTTTACAAAACAGTGCTCAATGTAAATTTACAGAGCATAAATATTATAAATATTATAAATATTATAAATTAACTGATTTTAAATCAGTTAATTTATAATATTATATATATATATATATATATATATATATATATATAAATATATAAATCATTATTTAAGGTAGTTACCAGTATTGTTTCTCCTGATAGTTTTATGTTTAGGGAAGGACGGATAATAAATTATGTATTATCAAATAATTGACAATAATAAAAATAATGTAAAAATGCTCATATTTAAAATGTAGAATAATGTAGACTGAAAACTGCTTCCATTTTTGATCTGAACTGTAAGGAAGTAATCTTAAATATTAAATATTATCAAAATTTTAAGAGCCACAGGCTTGTTTATGCTTACATATTTCTGATTTTTCCTTGAATTACATTTTTTGTTGCCATGCTAACACACAATATCACCACCAACAACAATGACCATAGCATGGTTAATGCTCAGGTAAACATACTGGCAAACGGTTGTGACTCATGTGGTAGTGCTAGTCGACGTGGGTAGAAGGTGTGGTCAATTGAATATCGCAGCAAGTTGGTCAGATTTGACATGTAGAGGTCCGCAAATCGAGAAAGGCGACGTGAAAAATATGTTGGGTTGTGGTGTGTACGAAAAACACTCCCAAAATGTGGATTGAACATCTGCTTGGCATATGTCCTAAAAAGAGTGAGAAATTATTTTAAGTATTTTTATGTATATAATGTTTAATTCCATATAAATCTATGCTAAAATGCATTTGTATCTGTTAGTAAATCCAGAAATTATTCAAGCAATAATATTCTTTGAATGTGTTTGATGTTGAAGATTGAAATGGTGTGTATGTGTGGAGATATATATATATATATATATATATATATATATATATATATATATAAGTGGATACTGAAGTCAGCACCAAACGATGACAGTCTATTTCATGATTGAATGAAATCTACTGTGTCTAAGAAATTGATCCGTGAATTTGAAAGGATCAAAATAAAATAGACATAATATTCCTAGATTATTCAACCAAATATGCTTGAATATATATATATATATATATATATATATATATATATATATATATATATAATAAAAAAAGAAAGAGACAAAAGTGTCTATATTAAAAAGAAGAGAAAAGAGGTGCCTCAAACGATTTTGGTTGTAATGTGGATTTTTTTTTTTTTTTTTTTTAAATATTATGCTTTATTTTCCATAATTTTACTACATGTGTTTCTGGTCTCGCGACCATCTTCAGGTAAAAGCCAGAGATTTCCACATATTATTAAAAATAATTTTTTTCCTTTTGAAAAACATATGGAAAAAAATTAATTATTTTTAATAATATGTGGAAATCTCCGGCTTTTACCTGAAGATGATCGTGAGACCAGAAACACATGTAGTAAAATTATGGAAAATAAAGCATAATATTTTTTTTTTAAAAATCCACATTGCAACCAAAAACATATTTATTTTGACGTAGAAAATTGCTATGCGATGACAACAGTCACAGAATAGCAGACGCAGATCGTAAATTCAAGATGCGGTTCTATGACGTCATACCACACGATAGACCAAAGTGTTACAACAGAACCAATGTCTAGATACAATGTAAAATTAAAGCAAACATTCAAATGACTCATGATCAGACATAACAGACATTCATTGTCTGTTATATTTAACAATATATGTTTAATTAATGATCTGCTGACCCAATACAATATATATTGGAAAATAAAAGCTTTGCACTAATTAAAAAGTTATATTTGTTCTCAATATGTGACAGAGGCAGACTGGCCATGGATAATGTGATCATGAATCTCAAAACTATTACTGCAAAGATAAATATAAATATATCAGTAACAACAATAATAATTAAAAGATAAATAAAAATAGGTAGGACCAATGTCTGCATCAGGTGTGTGGAACTAAAAAGCAAGTGAGTAACTGAAGAAGCAACATATATGAAAAACATTTTACTTTTCAGACAATTTTTTTATTTAAATTTTATGAATCAAAGGTTAGTTATCAATTTTACAAATAAAACATTCATAATTTTTTGTTGTCTAAGAAAGTAACTGAAATGTGTCTAATCATTAGATGATAAACTAAGCAGAAAATAAGTGGTTGAATAAATTTATTAATTACTATTTTAATTGCATATTAGTGATATATTTGATGGATATGTGAGTCACCAGATTCCTTTTGGCTCCTATCACAAAAGCAATAAGCCTTAAATAAGCAAACTTGTTTTAGTACTGTCATTGTAATGTTATCATGCAACTAAAATGGATAGCTTTTTTATTTATGAGTATATAGCAAGAAAAAAGTGTCAGTTCTTGCAGCAATGTGTGTATTCCAAAATATAAAAATTTGTGTAGATTATAGAAAAACCTTTTACAAATAGAAAATAATATAGAAATTCAGGAAAAATAAAAAAAATTTCCTGAATTTCTATATTATTTCCTGCATAATCTATAAATGATTCCTAATGAATTTACTAAGACATTAAAATTGAACTATTTTATAAATTTCTGTGCACAAATTTTGAAAATTTCAAAAATGAAAAAGTAAAATGATAGAATTACAAAAATTGACTTTTTAACCAAAAAAAGTTAAACTTCATAATTAACCTTAAATAACCCAGCAAGATAATTTCTTAAAATTATGTAATCTGTCCTCTTTGGAATGATGTACATTTTAAGAAGGAATACATTACTTTTTTTTTCATCATAAGGCTATGAAAATGACTTATCTATGCATGTATATGAGAATATATGTATATGTTTATGCAGTTGTTACATGTGAATGTGTGCATTTATAAATGTGCTTGTGTTGTTGATCAGGTTCAAGAAAAGTAAGACCAGTTTACCTGACATTATCCCGTTCCATCAACCACTCTTTCAAAATTTCCTTTTCATTTGATGCAGCTCCATCCTACAACAAACAAAAATTTTCCTCTCAATTTTTAAAAAATGGTTGACAGTCAAGCAAATACACATCACATTTTTAAGAAGCTATGCAAAACAGGAGACATCTATAAATGGCTTTTGTAATTAGTCATAGTCACAATTATTACAGTAAATAAACTCCCAATAATTGTGGTGAAATTTAAAACTGCAATTTATTTATATTATTACATGAAAATTTTTATCTGTAAAGATGTTTATAAGCTGATTTTCTGTGGATGTATCATTTCATTCTAAACCATGTTTATTTGAAATGTTCATAAAATGAATATGTCTCTGGGATGAAGAAAGTTCATAGATTTAGCAAATGTCATTATTCACAGTTTAGTGGAGAAAAGGAAGTACATGCATACTGATTTACAGAAGCTGGCATGTTAGTGAGTCTTTTAATTTTGTCACTTTGTTCCCCTCTGATATACATTTTTAGATGACTGACCTGTTGCAAAGTTTTGTATTTATGTTTTTAAGAGATATAGAGAGTTTATTGAATTTACTTAATCCAACAGTAATTTATTGAAAAATCCTTTTTTTATTCTTTGTGATTACATCCACAAATTACTCATTTTATTTTTAGCAACTTAATTAAATTTTCAATATTACTACATATCTATTAGGACCTTGAATAAGTTTTCAATGTTTTCCAACAGATGGCATTCCCAGAATTGCTTGTGTGTAGTTTCAGATGGTAACACATCTATAAGAAGTACTATAAGCAAGCTTGAAATTCATTGTATGTCATTTCACCTAAGTATAAACAACTTTGTTTTTATAGCGTTAAACATGTTGGATTTTGTACCAAAGAAAGTGTATTTGTAGGGAATTTTATTGCACTACTTTATTTAAAAGAAATCTGCAGCTGAAGCACACAGAATTCTTGTTGAGACTTACGGTGACCATGCTCTGTTGGAAACAACATGCAGAGATTGGTTTAGATGCTTCAAAAATAATGATTTTGATGTTGAAGATAAAGAATGCTCTGACACACAGAAAAAGGTTTGAAGATGAAGAATTGAAGGCTTTTCTTAATGAAGACTGAACTTGCAGACTCATTAGGAGTTGATTACAAAACAGTTTCGAAATGTTTGAAAGTATTAGAAATGATTCAAAAGCAAGGACATTGGGTGCCATATGAGTTTAAGCTGAGAGATGTCAAATGTTTTGTCATGTGTGAACAGCTGCTTCAACGTCAGAAAAGGAAAGGTTTTTTGCATCGTATCATGACTGGAGATAAAAAGTAGATACACTATGATAACCCTAAGCGTAGAAGATCATAGAGTAAGTCCGGCCATGCATCAACATTGGCAGCAAAGCTGAATATCCATGGTTCAAAGCTTTTGCTCTGCATTTGGTGGGATCAGCTGGGTGTAGTTTACTATGAGCAGCTCAAACCAACCAAAACCATCATGGGAGGTTGCTATTGACTACAATTGATGTGTTTGAGATGAGCATTGAAGAAAAAATGGCCACTATATGAGCCGGGACACAACAAAGTGATTTTGCAATATGACATCACTGAACCACATGTTGCAAAACAGGTGAAAACCTACTTGGAAATGCTTAAATGGGAAGTCCTACCCCACCTGCCGTATTCACCAGACATTAGCCTGTCGGATTATCACTTGTTCCGATCAATGGCACATCGCCTGGCTGAGCAGCACTTTCATTCTTATGAAAATGCCAAAAAATGGGTTGACATGTTTAGCCTTAAAAGACATGTCGTTTTTCCGACATGGAATTGAAATGCTGCCAGAAAGATGGTAAAAAGTAGTGGCTAACAATGGACAATCAGTGAGAATTTATTCAAAATCCTATTATATAAAAATTCTTATATTTGTACTTACCTATTAACAGTGTGTATTTAACATATCTTACACTCCAAAAGCAAATAAAAGTGAAAAAAAAAAACACCACAAAGTTCCAGTCTTGTATCTGGGGTCAAGGCAGAAAATGATGAAAACATGGATCTCAAATTTCACAGCAAAATTCTGCATTAAGCAAAAGTCAATGTTCATCAAGAAAATCTTGAGATTTTCATGAAGAGTCTATGAAAATTTTTTTTTTGTGTGTGTGTCTGTCTCTCTTCCAATCAATTAAGTCAATGGAGCAATTAACTTTCGGCACAATTCAAGAATTTTGAGTGAATTATTTTAAAGTTTGCACAGGTTTAATTAGTGCATATGTGCTGTAGTAGGATTAGGTAGTAATAACACTATGAAAATATACACTTTCCTCTTTACTATAGACAGTAAATTTGGCCTTTACTTCATCTCTATATAGCCATATCTGTTCTTAAATAATTCCATGTTAATACCAACAATGACATGAACCTTAACTTTTCAAAATCTTTTTCTACTTCCAGTAATCTTGCAAGAGTCTGATTTCTTACAAAATAACACATGAAAAAGAGAACAAAGGCAAGTCTGTTCATCCTAACTATAATCTAATTCTTTATGTGAATATAAGATCATAAAAAAAACTTTTGTTCCTGAAATAATAACATCACCAAAGTTCAGTCAGAAATGACTGACAGTCTAAGTTTATAAAATTAGACACACAGTTAAGCAGACACATTAAGAAAAAAACATTTTAAATTTTTATTTATTAAATATACAAAATAAACCTACCTGACAATATTCAACCATTTGCTGTAATACCATTCCCCACCGAACAGCTGACTTGTACTCCACTGTATTGATTTTATCAATCTCATTCTGGTAAAAAAGAAAAATAGTTCCATGTACTGATGTTACATGCCACTGAGCGTAATCTTTGTTTATTGTTCTGTGTAGTATGATAATAATGAACTATCCCAACCTATACATTTCAATACTAATCACTCTATATAAAAGCTATCTAATTACTAATGGTTCAGTTTAGTAGAATCAAGCTTTTAAAGTTGATATTCAGTGTCATGTATTCATTACATGTAGTTGGTGTAGTTAGCCTTGTCCAGAAATATCTTAACTATAGAAACAATAGTCTAGAGTAGCTATAACTTTAATACTAACATTCATTTAAAAAAAATAAAGAACAGCAATAACATACATTGCATTATAAATAACATCATTTTACTTTGTCAATATGGATGCAAAGTCAAAATCTGACACTGATGAAAAAAGTAAAAGTTCTTTCTATATTTCTGAAATTCCATTTCTGTAAAAGGAAGTCATATTTAAATATCAGAATCAAACCAGCTTCGCTTAAACATTTGAAAATTCAAATTGGTGTCATATTTAATCAAATGCATTGTGTTCAAACAATGTGTTGCAGAATTCAGTGGAAAACTTGGATCACTTACTTAATAAATATTTTTTTATATGGAAGAAAGTCTTCTAATACTCACCTCCAATTCGGGTATGATAGCACCTGTTCTCCAGCCATGTCTCAGTGCAACGTCCTATAAGTTGATTAGATATGAATAAATTATAAATATTGAATTTGTTTAACTTAAAACTATCCTGCCAACATAATATGTTCCCAAAACAAAGATAATTGTATGAAATTAGCAGAGTTATCTTTTTGATTATGCTGTATTTCATCAAATCAATATTTGGAAAACATGAACATGAAAAAAATGGTGTTTTAAAAGGATGATTTTTCCAAATGGTATATAATAAATCTTTATAAAAGGTAAATAATTTTTTATAATCTTGTAAATAAACACTGCCAAGGGAGTGAGTGTAGTTAAAATAATAGCCGTATCAATGGAAAAACAGTCCTTTTGAAAAACTGTTTTATTGAGAGAATGAAGGTTCATGTCAGATCCATAAAAATTCCATGTAATAACAGAAGCATATATGGTTTCTTTGATTCTTAGAATAAATGTTATAAATATGATGGGCATATGGCCGAGTGGTTAGAACATTCACTTTCTGACCATGAGACCTGGGTTTGAATTTCACCATGGTCAATTTGTCAGCACGGAGACTTCCTGATGTTATCAAACTGGAGGTGTCGATCCCAGCATGCGGCACATTTGGAAAGTGTCTGAAAACCATACCATGGGCTGACCCAAGCCTTGTGAGTGAAATTGGTATATGGAACCCTTGGGGGCCATCGATAGTTGTGCTAGCACAAAGTCACAAGTCATCGTGGCTGAGAGGTGAGCATGCTGGCCTTGTTCAGATTGTTGCTTCACACTAGATAAAACGCTCTTTCCCATAAACTGTAACTAAGGTATGCTCAGCATAGTTGCAGTATAAACCACAGGTGGGCTCTGTGAGTGTTGAATAAACACAAATGTGCCTAAGGAAGCATCTGCAATAGGGATTGGCTAGCTGCCCTAGTAGACAGGTATCCTCGAATATGAGTGGCCAGCTATACATAAATATAAAATAACAAAAGTTACAATTTGAAACATAACTGATGTACAGTGATTCGTTTAGACTAATATTCTCATTTTTTGAACTCATATTTTTTTTTTAACTTATAAATGTAGAATAAATAGTTAATTGTTGTTGTGCACTGCCATTTATATATTCCTCATTATAAGCTTAAATGCTAAATATAATATATGGCATCCAGTTTACAAATGAAAAAGAAAAACTGAAATAAACTTACAGCTAAATCACTGTAAACATGATCACCAAAATAGAAAACCTTAGAGCCAAACCACCCAGTCATCTGTCGTAGTAATGAGAAGTTACCCTGAAATAATAAAAAATACAATGTTAAAAAAAAGACTTAGTGAAAGTGAATTTCATTTCAATTTTGAAAATTAAAAGCTAGTAAAGTTAAGGTAAATACAGTCAACAATGAAATTATTCGTACACCCATCAATTTTGAATATTTTTATACATTTCTCAGAAACTAATGCCAGTATAATGGCAGTTTTTTTTTATATGTTAATAATCACAAAAAAAGGAATATAAAACTCAATTTTCAGAACAATAAGTTAAATACAACAAATTTAACAGGTGAATTATGCAAAATAAGAAAAGACAAAATTATTCATACAGTATGAAAAATAGAAAAAATTGAACAATTTTCATAATATTAATAGTCATTAGCATGGCTATTGACTATTAATATTCTCTTTATAACTTGCTGCAATCTTTTTTTAAAGTTTTTGATTAGATTTGAACAAGTCTTTTCTGGGATTTCCTTCCATTCTTCAATGGTTATACGTTCTAATGCCTCAAGGTTTTTTAGTGACTGACAATTTATTTGAACTTTCAATTCTCACCATAGATTTTCAATAGGATTCAAGTCAGGACTCATTGAAGTCCATGGCAGAACTGTGATCTTCTTTTTCTGAAGCCACACAGTCACTGATTTAGACGTATGTTTGGGATCATTATCTTGCTGGAAAGTGAATCGCCGACCTAGATGAAGATTTGATAGCTGTAGATTTTCATCCAGAATTTTGATATAGTCTGCAGATTTCATTATTCCTCTTATTGCAATCCCCAGTCCTTCTTGAGCTAAAACAACACCAAAACATCATCAAGCCACCTTCATGTTTTACTGTTGCCACTGAGTTCTTTGGGAGGAAAGCCTCACTTTTCTTGCACCAAATCTTCTCTACAACATTATGTCCAAAAAGCTCAATTTTTGTTTCATCACTCCATTGTACTTGTTCCCATAAGAAATTTTCTTTGTCCAAGAACGTTTTGGCAAAATTAAACCAACAATATGACATGGTTCGTGAACAGGTGTTCATCATGATCGGTTTCCATGCAACCCATTTCTATTTAAACTAGATTGTATAGTGCAAGTACTTACACTGATACCCATCATATCCAAACTTTTGGCAATGTCTTTCAAAACAACTCTTGGGTTTATATTAACCTCACGGCACAGTTTTCATGCATTTCTCTGTGACAATTTGGGTTTTCTTCCACACCCAGGCAAATTCTCTATCATGCCAAACTGTTTAAACATCTTTATAACAGACAGTATTGTAGATCTATAGATAGCTAACCAGTTTGAAATAGTGCTGGAATTATTTCCTGACTTGTGGAAGTTAATAATTCTCTGTCTCAAGTCAACACTAAGCTCCTTTATCTTCCCCATTGTGTTGTTAACATAAGAATAACAATGGTGACACTATGCACCATGTGATGTTCTTTGCAGGAATTATCACAAATATTCTACTAAATAGTCAAGATAATTATGTAAATTACTTATACGACTCAATCAATTTAAAACAATATTTTCTACTGAACAAATAATTATGTCTTTTCCTATTTTGCATAATTTACCCATCAAATTTGTTGTATTTAGCCTATTGCTCTGAAAATTGAGTTTTATATTCCTTTTTTGTGCTTATTAACATATAAAAAACCTGGTATCATACAGGCATTAGATTCTGAGAAATGGATAAAAATATTCAAAATTGATGGGTGTATGAATAATTTTCTCATTAACTGTAAATCTTCAAATAATTTGTAAGAATAGTAATATTATATATTATATTATTATATTATTTATATTAAGTATAAATAACTGCTAACTGGTGATGAGAAATTTAAAAATTCTCCCCTAAGGTTTGTAATGATGTTATTTGTTTTTTTTTAGGATAAGATTGTTTATGTATGAATGGTTTGCTTTGTAGGACATTATGATATTAATTTTTGCACAGATGTAAATGCAAAATAATTTATTGGATATTGATAGGCAATATACCTGTTGATAGATTTTCCCTCTTTCCAGCTTGTGGACTCTATCCCAAGACTGTGTACCAGTTTTGGCATCATAGATCCGGAATGGTCTAAAAAAAAAAGAGAAAGAAAACTATTGAAAATTAAAGTTAACAGATGCACATTTTGCTCAGTCTTGGAAACTAAACCAGAGCAATTCTGATTTTTTGAGCAGATTCATAGCAGTTCATGATTTAAGATGAAAAATGATATTTTAAAAATGACATAACAATTCAAATACTTTTACAATACAGATAATAAAATCCCAAAGCACATACTTTTAATTAATCAATATTTAGACACCTTTTCATGTCTTAAAACATCCTGAAAAAATACTTTGAATATAATTTTATTATTTAAAAGGTTTAAGGAGAATTCTTTTGTCATTTTTTTTTTACATTCTTGGAAACCTTCTTTGTTTCATTAAATAGCAATAATGAAAGTGCATTTCATTTACTGCGAACAATCTTTCATTTAAGCTCATTATTGGCATAAAACAGTCGGTTTATTATGTTATACCAGAGTCTACAATAGTTACATTGGTATGATGAAAATTCTTTTACCTTATCCATTTTCCAAAAGCTGACCAAATGATCTAACATCAGATTTTTGGGGGGAAGAGTTTCTTGGTTAGACTGAGAACTTTTCAAAAACTCCTTAATTGTAAGTTGAAGACACAATTATTCATGTTTAAATCCTATAGTGGTCTGAGAGCTGAAGTTTTCATTGCTAAAACATCTTGAACATCATAAAAAATAATTATTCAAAATAAATATTCTTACCTGGTTGCTTCATTGAAAAATTTAGGCTTTCTGGCATTTGTAATAACTACATCAAAGAGGCTCTGCCAATCAGGACCAACAATGTAACGCATCCCAGCATCCCTGTCAACAAAAATCAATAAAGAGTCAACTCACACTCTTTGACCAATTCAGGATTTGCCACAAATTATCAGTCTCATGAATTCAAATATTTTTTATTTTCCTTTTATCCAGTGGCAGACCTAGGTACCAGTGAGTCAGAAACTACGAAACCATCTTCTTTTTTTAGAATTTATTAACTTGCTGAAATTTCTTGCCAGTAAATTCATTTGTGTGCCAAACTTTCTCTAGCTCTGCCATTAATTTTACCTTTTGCTCCAATTTCTTGATGGTACTACAAACACAAACAGAAAGCAAGTGAAATCACTTACTTTATATGCAATTAAGGAAAAAGAAATTATAATTTTACATTAGCATAATCCCAGTAAAACACAATCAGAATTGGCTAACCACTTTTCAGAAAAATTCAAATACTCCCATTTGTAGAACTGCATGTGATATCAATAATGACTTTAAGAAAATGGCTAAACTTTACAAGATAATGTCCATTTGATAATATGTTCTATGAAAGAAGAAATTTTGGCTGCACAATGCAAAAGAAAAAAAACTTTTAATAACTGGTGAAACCCTTATTCAAAAAAGCTGTAAGTATTGGAAAATTTTTAAAATACCAAAAGATTTCAAATATATGTTGACTTTATGAATTCAAATTTGAATTGAAACAATATAAGTATAATGTTAAACTAAACTTGTTCTTTTGTGTTTGTCAGATTAATTACACTGCATCTTTAACATTTTGTTTAATAATATAAATATATCTATAAACCTGAATAATTTCCTAACCAGAAACTAAAGTCATGACAATTTTTGATTATTTTTTCCAATATTTTTTCTATTCATCAGAAAAATCAAACTTTGAATAACTGTGTTGTTGTATTTACATTTTACTATGAGCAATAGTTACCAGGGATCATAAATGCTAATCTCTTGACAATGTTTATTAAGTTAGATACCCTCAAAGAACATGTAGTTTGGTGTTATGCCTTTGTTTATTAATGCAAATTTTGGTAGTTGAAATCTTTTGTGAAATCTCCCAGACATTAAAGTAAATGTGTTCCAAGAGTTCATGATGAATAAGTAATAGTGAGGTGATAAACAATAGCATCTTGTTGTGAACCTTGGAAACTAATCAATGAAAAAGTAAATTGTTTATTCTCAGAGGAGTGAAGTTGTACTTTGGTAGTATGTCAGTACATTTGCACTAGAAAAACAGATATGTCACCAGTTCTCTTACTAAAGAGGCAAGCCAACCGGACGATACAGAGAGTTTTGTGTTTGTCTGTCTTCAAATGCAGTCAAACTGAGTGGAGAGACGTCTGCTGTGTGGTGATGAAGCTGAGGGCAAAGAAACGAAATAATACCACTAACATCTACGTACCACTACTACTATTACTACTACTGAGAATGGGAATACTGATGGTTGTAATAGTTGCACTAAGAACAAACCAAAAAGCGTTAAAACAAAGGCTACATCTCTTCTTACTGAAATTATTCAAAGTATTTGTGTTTGGTTATTGTTCACATACAAGAAGCATTCAACCTTGTGCAACCAGAATTATTTTTTTGTGTGTTTGCTTTTATATATAAAAAAAAAACTTTTGTCCTTTCAAAATCGAGTCAACTTGGTTACATTTATTTTTTCTGTTGAACCGATTCTCATCAGATGAACTCAGAGGTGGACCAAAGGTGAGCTTCCAGATTTCTATGATCTGATGACCACTCTCTAGGATCAAAACAATCACAATGTGGCTGGAGAGTGGCTTCAAATTGTAATACTGGACCATACTGGACCAAAGGCTGGTCTTGTGGAGTGCGTGTGTCCAGTGGGGTGAGGATATGGTGTTACAATCGAGTTTAACGTAACTTTGAAAACAGTTTTCAATGTCATTTAAAGTAAATGCAACTACAAAAGTGAAAACAAGTCATTATTAAGTATTTTAAGCAAATAAAAAAAACATCAAACTTGAGCAATTTTCATTATTTTTAATGTAACCAGTCTTAAATGGTGATGACAGAAATGTCCTTCATAGAATTAGATGTTAAACAACACATTTTGTGGTTCTTGACATTATACATATCTGCAGAGATTCCTTCATTGTACTTGATGTCATGTGATTATCATTACAAACCAGGTGTGACAGGTTTTGTTGAACTTAACTATTTCTTATGAAAATTGGTATTTTGAATGCACACTAAATGTTGTAATTGTGAGGTCACATAAGTCAAGGTCATTTTTTGTCAAGCATGGTATGTATGCTCTTTGCCATCATTAACTTGCATTTGCTTACTTTTATAAGTGTTGGCAATTCTGAGAATGCGTTTCTCAGATGACAACTGGCTTGAATATTTGTTTTGTATTTCAGAAATATGGCTAGTTATGAGAGCAGAAAATGCAAAAGCAGCCCTGGTGTCTTTGGTTATATTTGTGAATGTTATATCTTACCTACGCAGAAAAAACAAAATCACATATTTTGTGAGGAAAGCTTACTTACTTTGGCATGAAACTTAGTGATCAAGACAAAGCCTGGGCACTCCATATAGTGTGTAAAACATCTGTTGAAGCAGTGAGACAGTGGGAAAAGGGTCAAAGAAATAATCTAAGCTTTAGCATTCCTATGATGTGGAGGGAACCTTAAAATCATTATAGCAACTGCTACTTTGGCATGATTGATATATATATATATATATATATATATATATATATATATATTCAGTACTTTTGACTAAGTGCCACATCATTTATCTAAATCTGCTATTTGATCTGTACCACACTTGTATGATGTTCTGCCACTATAGTTCATGTCCTTTGTTGAAGATAGTAAAGAATGGGAAGATGGAGTATAGTAACCTGGAAGATAAAAACGATGAGGGACAGGAGGCTCTAGCAAAACTTCTTACACAGCCAGAGTTAAATAATTTAATTCATGATCTAGATTTATCAAAGAAAGACACTCAGCTGCTTGGGTCACATTTAAAAGAAAAGAACCTACTTGGACTGAGAACCAAATGTGTGTTTTATAGGCATTGAAAGAATGGTATTTTTTCATAGTCAGTTTAAATGTATGTCTTAAGCGTGACCTGCTGCATAATGGTAATGTATTTGCATCTATACCAATTGGTATGGATTTAGATAAATGATGTGGCACTTAGTCAAAGTACTGAAGCTATATATATATATATATATATATATATATATATCAACAGTAAAGGAAAACTATGACTGAATGAAAATAGTGCTTGAAAAGATGCAGCATGAGGAACACAACTAGACTATGTAGGGACTTGATAATTATTTCATTGCTTCTTGGTCTACAAGGTGGTTATACTAAGCATCCTTACTTTTTCGTATCTTTGGAACAGTTTAAAAAAAGTGACCAATTGATACAAAAGACGTGGCCAGACAGAAGGGAGTTCAAAAATGGAGATAAGTATGTTTTAAACAGGCTTCTGGTTAATCTGATGGGGGTTTTGCTTCCTCCATTGCATATCAAACTTCATCTGATGAAGCAGTTTGTAAAAGCCTTATACAAGGATGGTGACTATTTATAATACTTAGCAGAAAGTTTTTAACTTTTTCTTACGAGAAAATTAAGGCTGACATGTTTAACAGGCCACAGATTAGGCAGCTATTGCCTATTTGGAGACGATATCTAGCATTCAAAAAGAAGTTTTTGCTCTGGTTGTGTTTGATTTCATGAGAAATAGGAAGTCATCAAATTATGAAAAACTTGTTCAAACCCTGTTAACCAGTTTTCAAGCACTGGGCTGCTACATGAGTGTAAAAGTGCATTTCCTGTACAGTCATTTTGACTATTTCCTTGAAAATCTTGATGCAATGAGGGATGAGCAAAGAGAAAGATTTCACCAAGATATCAAGACCTTGAAGTTTAGGTATCAAGACAGATAAAACAAAAACATGATAGCTGACTACTACTAGTGTCTGCAAAGAGACTGTTGTTATGCAAGTTATTCGCACCAATCAGCAAAGAGAAAGTTTACTCCTTGAGTGACTGAAACTCCAGTTTGACAGAAATATTTATCCTAAGATGTGTAATTAAATATTTTGTGTAATATATTTGTTAAGCAATAAACAATACTACATAATTTGTGTTTGTTTCTTATTTCAGTATTGCATTTAATGGCAAAATTGAAATTATTTTTGTTAAAAAATGAATTCCTGTTTAATAAAACAACTTGATGTGATAGAAATTTTCTCAGGGCATTTCTGAACTCAGTATCACCAAATTAAGTCGGAACAACTGGAAAATGCAAAACAACTAAAATTTCTTTTTAAAAATATTTCCCAGCGATAATCAATTTAGTATAAAGCCCAAATTATGCAGGAATGGAAAAAAATAAAGATATCTGAAGAAAACAGATAGTAGAATGGCTGAAACACTGGGACTAATATGAATAAATCAGTACATAAATAACGACTTTCTAAATACAAAATTTTAGAATTTTTTCTCATTGAATATTCTTTAAGATTTTCCTGTAATTTTGCTTTAGTCATTACAACCCTTTTGTAAAAAATAAAATGAAAATAAAAAGAATACTTAAATATATAGAAATTAAATGAAAATTAAAAATCTACATTCTTTTCTTATTTAATACATGTACACACACACACACACACATATATATATATATATACACACACACACACACAGTGGGGAGAAATAAATATTCATACACATACAAAATTTTAATTTATTGTATTTCCAACTAATGAATAATCATACTTTTCATATAATTAGCTGTACACAAATGCATAATAACTAAATATGCATAGAAAACAGAAAAAAGATTTGACTTAATAGAAACAAATCCCATTTATCTATTTTAATGAGTGAAAATTTATTCATACAATGCAAATTTCAGATTTTAAAACTTTTAAATTGCTTTAATACTATAGATTATTCAAGTGGAATATTCTAGAATGTTCCAATAATGTTATCAGTAGTTATTTTTAGCCTAAAAAATATAAACAGAACATTCTGTAATTAATATTCATACAAGAAGGTTTTCATCATGATAAGAGGTAAAGAATTGACAAATTTATGAAAAGAACTGATTGTTAAGCTCTGGAAAGATGGTAAAAGTGACATGAAAATCTGACAACCTGAATATTCCATTTACTAACATTAGTTCATGCATTGCAAGGTATAAAAAACTCAAAACTGTTGAAAACCAAAGAAGAACAGGTGTTCCACGGAAGATTTCTTCAAGATATTTGAGGAAATTAATGTGTCAAATTAAACAAAAACCAATGGTTACTCGTCAAGTGTTGCAAAATGATTTGCTTTCATCAGAAATCTGTGTCACTAAATGGACAATAAGCAATGAAATTCATAGGAACAATCTAAAGTCATGCTCCCCCTCAGAAAACTCTACTGCTATTGAAAAGACACAAAGAAGCCAGGTTGATATTTGTTTGTGAACAAGTTATCAGCAGTGACTGGATCAGAACGATCATTGATTTGAAAACAGGCATTGACAGAAAAAATTTTTTTAATTCTGCCGAAGACTATAAGATTTTGAAAATGAAAAGTATTTTAACACTGACTTTATAATTATTCAAAGTATGTACAAATTCTTTTCTGGGAACCCTGTATATAATTCTCTTTTCATTTAATACACACATGCAGAAATATATGTGGTTGGATATTCTGAGTATTATATGCTTTGTGAACAGACACTGTTAAGAAGTTCCTCATGAACTGATCAATGCCCATGCTCAATGATGTGTGATTGTGGAGTTATCTCCATCTAATTTCCTGAAACCGCTACTAGGAGACACTCTCCAGCACTATATATTGCACTATATATTGCAATATTCTGCAATAATTTTTTGTAGCCTCTTCTTACTTTTTTCGTTTACACATCAAAATGTAAGTCTCTTGTGAGAAAACATGTTTCCCATTCAGAAACACATGAATAAACCACACAACACTTATATGTATGCATATTCACTCACTTCACATCCTTTAAGCCAAAAGATTTTCACATTCTTATGTTACATACATCATTGTCACTTGTATATCTTTCTTGTTAATACATAAACATTTGTTTGTACATGTATTGGTTCTTGTCATTTCTTTGCATTTATTCATGTGGAATCACATACCGAGTCCCATATATTTGTTATGGGTATTCCAGGAGACACATTTTTTCCCCAACAGAAACACATGACATATGTAACACTCGCAACATGATCATTGGCAAACAACAACTGGCAAATCCTCAAGATGCATCAAATTGTAACTGGCAATGAATAACATCTATTTTCGTACTCCTAATAAGAGAAATAAGTGGCTTCATTGAAGCCAGGCTTCAGAACCTGTTGTCAAACTATGATGGTTTGAACAGAAGGTCATGTTGTGTGTTTGGTGGAATTTTGAGTGGAGTGCTGCACCTTGAACTTGTCCTAGATGGTCAACAACTTCAGTGAGTATATGATGTTTCGAAAGCTTGCTATCTGGTATTGGTGAATCCTACAGCATGACAATGCACACGCTGCCAATGTGACCAAGCACAAACTTGAGGAACTTGGAGTGCTAGAAGTGCTGCCTCAACCTGCCTACACTCCAGAACTTACACTATCAGATTACCACATTTTCTGAACCATGGCTCATTTCTTGCACAGATGGAGGTTCAACAATATGGATGAGGTTGAAAATGTGTGCAAAGAAATTTTTGCCTTTAAGCCAGCCAAACGGTATAAGCATGAAATTGAGCTGGGAATGATGGCAACAGACAACAGAACATAATAGGATATATATTTTAATGAATAAACATTTTTCGTATGTAACTTAGTTGAACTATTAAAGCTTGAAGTATGAAAAACCTTTTACTTAACCTAGACTAATAGTGGGTAAGTAAATGAAAGAATGGAAAATTCCTAGACGATGCATTGCAACCTGAGAAGGGACTTCTGACTAATAATGGTTTTATCTATAGAGTCAGTCTTACATATATTGGTATGGGGAGAAATAAAACAAAATATATGTATTAATTAAATATATATATATATATATGAATTATTAGTTTTTTAGGCTGAAAAATTTTGGATTAAAAACAAAAAAGAACACTCTCCTTTCTGCAACTTCCCCTTTTATTAAAGAAAACCTTTTTTTTTCCCTAAGTGTCACCAAAAGGAGAGGAAAAATCCAAAGAAACATTTTGCTGAACGACACTATTTTTATCCACTTCTATCATAAATCTTTGTTACTAGTCTTTTGGAGGGAAAACAATTGAATAGTTTAAGAGAAAATGAAGAGTTTTCTCCCTTATTTACAAAATCACAACAGAACCAGAAATATAGGATTTTTAAAAATAATAATGACATGTAGTAAAATCTTTTTCTTTTAGAAAGTCATACATTAAAGAATTATAAACATATCTGAAAATAGAAATAATGAAATCTACTCATATTTACAATAATATATCTCATTTAATCAGGTTTTGCTAGCAAAAGAACACAAAGTGAACACTTACACAAAGGGAAATCCACTGTTTGTAATCAGAAACAACTTCTTCTTAGCTTCTGTAAGCCTCTGTAACAATAATAAAACTTCTGGGCCTTTCTGCAAGTATTTTCCTAAAAAGAATTTGAAAATAATAACATGGGCGTCATTGATGATCAAATAAGGTAAAGAATAAAAGCTAATTTAAGGTAAAAGTGCTCAATATCAGAGAGAGTGCATGTAAATATAAAAGTGAACACAGAGTGCTGACAGTCCATTTCATGCTTCACTGCAACTTTCAGGCCATCTATCACTGATCAGAGTCCATTATATATATATATATATATATATATATATATATATATATATATATATATATATACATACACAGTAGCGGCCATAATATAAGGAACGGAAACAACAAAGACATAAATATGTGTATTACTTAAAAAGTAATGCATGATTAGCAATGAAATTTTTACCGAATAAAAATTAGGGTGTAATTCATAAATATTATACAAAGTTACAAAAATTTACATAATAGTTTTTTTTTTTTAAATAAAGATTAAATGGAACAAAGGAAATAAGCTACTGGACAAAAGTTAAGGAACAATGTTAATAATTTGCATAAACTTTTAATTTACATTGTTAAAAAACTCGATGGAGCTTTTCAACAATAAGTAAAAGTTCATTTATCATTAAGACTTTATTTTTAAGAAATATGGTAAATTCTATGTGCAAAATGCTCTCTTTTGAAGAAAAAAAAACTCATTACTGCTAACTACCAAAAAAAAGTCAATTTCTGATATTGTTCATAGGTTTAAAAGTGTTGTTCATCGTGTATAAAACCAATAAAACATTAGATGCAAAACCAAAAACCCGCAGACTTCCAAAAACATCACAAAGAGAAGATCGAAGAATTGTTAGAATATCTACAAAAAAACATCTTGAAACTGCTAAATCAATTGCCCATAAATTTAATGAAGAGACAAATAATAAGATCTCAAGGAAAACGGTTGCTCACAGGTTAAAAAATGCAGGATTGCATGCTTGTATTCCAGCTTCAAAGCCTCTCATTTCAAAGCGAAACCAAAGGGCATGCCTGGAGTATGCGAGAGAACATGTTGTTTGAACTGACGCACAATGGGATACAGTTCATTTCAGTGAGTCCAAGTTTACCATATTTGGTTCTGAAGGCAAAACTTATGTACACCATAGAACAGGTGAAAGACTGTCTTCTCAATGTGTCAAGAAAACTGTTAAGTTTGGTGGCGGCAGTGTGATGGTGTGGGGAATGATTTCATCTGCAGAAGTTGACCCTATCATCCGTGTACATGGCAATATCAATGCTGAGATTTACAAAAGGCTTCTTCAGCAGCATGTGGTACCAAGATTACACCATAATCTTTATGAATCTCCTATTTTCATGCAGGACAAAGCACCTTGCCACAAGGCTCAGAAGGTTATGGCTTTATTTGAAGAAGGAATCGCCAGCCCAGAGCTCCGACCTGAATCCAATAGAAAATGTTTGGAAGATAATTGGAGAAAGGGCTCAGAAAAGAAACCCGAAAAAACAGGATCACCTATGGGAGTTATTGAAAGACGAATGGGAGGGAATTACTGCTGATTTTTGCAAGAAATTAATTAGATCATGTGGTCGACGATGCAGAGAAGTCATTGAAAATAAGGGGATGTTTACCAAATATTAAATTTTGTGGATATATTGTTCACAATCAAGTATTAACAAGATCGTTCCTTAACTTTTGTCCAGTAGCTTATTTCCTTTGTTCCATTTAATCTTTATTTAAAAAAAAACTATTATGTAATTTTTTGTAACTTTGTATAATATTTATGCATTACACCCTAATCTTTATTCGGTAAAAATTTCATTGCTATATATATATATATATATATATATATATATATATATGAAGTTATTTTAAGCCGTGAAAAGGATAGAAAAAAGAAGCCAGATTTTATTTTTTGTAGTAGGACTTCTTAATCTCTAGGTTGATATTAATTTCACTGTCTACTCCTACATGTGTACCCACGAAATACAATGTTGAAAGTAATAAGAAATAATATCAAATTTGGGGTATGAAAATAAAGATAGCATATCTAAACTTTGAAAGTTTCTAACGAGAGATGGACATTTCTTAAGTTGGTAATTTATCAAAATGGTTTTCTGTGTGGCCTAATTGGTAGGTCACACTCTACTCAAGAGTGATTTATCTTATGGGGAAAAAGGGAATACAGATTTGATTCCTATTGAGAGACATTTCCTTCTCAATATTTAGGCCAATTGACATTAATTTGATTGTTTAAAATAACTGGGATGTCAACTCAAACACATGTAACCACTAAATATAAGATTTATAGTAATAAGAAATAATGTTTGAAGTAATATATATATATATGTAACAGGACAAATTCACAGGATCAATATTTATTAGTGTATATGACATCTGTATGATGACAGGATCGAGTTTAAAAAAGGAGGAAGAAAATTTGGGGAAGGTAATTGAGTAGACTTTGATATTAAGAACAAGGTAAAAATATTGATTTAAACCTATAAAATGAGATGAATTAGGTGCTGAGAGGATTGGAACCTGGGACAAATTGACCAAAAAATTTAGAGGTTCTCAAAGTTACACACCTGTGATCTGATGACAAGTTTATATGTTCTCAAAATTTACCCATGTAATTAAATGAGTCTCTATTCCTCGGACATCATTTATACAAGATACTGCTTGTTCAATCCGCCATTCTTGCGTTCCGCGCACTTCAACAACATAAAGGTGTTCTGCCTTCTCACTACTTCAGCCCTCTTTTATCAGACTGGCCAACCAATCAGCATTCTTCGCTTTTGTTCTCAGTTACCCAGGCAAATAGCTTCTAGTCTGACTAATCAGCACATGGCTTGCTATTGGTTGAACCATGCCAAACTGTACAAAAAAACCCTGTTACAGCACATACTGCTGGAATAGTTAGATGGGAGAGTAATACCTTTTTCAAGGAACAAAATGCCAATGCCATGTGCTGCATGTTGAGGTAAGACACTTATTTTTCTTTACACCAGATGCAAGCCACTCTGGCTCGCTTGCTTCTACAAGACCGTTCACCAAAACCCAGTTAGGATTGTTTTGAAAAAATTATATATCAGGTTTAATCTCTTTCTGCAAAAATTACATTATTTCATTACTAGAAGATAACCAACATTTCAGTCTAGCAGTATAAGAAAGATATAAAGAATGCTAATGTACAAAAATTATTACCCCAAAAAATTATTTTCCTATTTTTTCCAGTGGCCAGTCTATTTAAGTAAATACATTTTTTTTTTAATCACAGGACTTATTCCCAATTTTTATGCACCCTTTCCCACGCTGAATTATTCAAGCTTGAGAATTTCTGTCAATTATTTCCATTAAATAGCAATGAATACTTTACCTAAGTTTGACATTATTTCCTGGTGAAGCAAACCAGATAAGTGAATATCCTGTACTGCAGTCTGAAAACAATTGGAAACAAAAACGTTTTTTTAAAAAGCAATTAAAAGTGAGTGTTGAAAATTTAACAGAAATTTAACTATTAAATACTATGAACATTGGACATTAATGGGTTAAGATTGTTAAAAGTATTATTTTTTAACAGAAACTTTATCTTCAATTTATGGATCAAAAACACAAATTTCATGATTTATATTTCTGATTGTAAAATTCATTAGAATGCAAATTTTGACAATTTTACTTATTTGTTGTATAACATAAATAAAATCAGTTGGGAAGGAAAAGTCTTTTGACAAAATGAGATTAATGAGTTCCATAGTCAATCAAGTAAAGGAAAAATGATTTGTGTAGATGAGCTTCACAAATCCATGGCAAATAACTTCCTTTCCCCAAAGAGAGGTAGCTAGAGATTAAAAGACTCACTGACTATTGAAATGACAAATTCTCGGACACTTCAGTGCCAGGAGTTTGGCACAGCCACATCAGCACAGGCCTACTTTGACTCAGACCTACTTCAGCACAAATCCAATTCAGTGCAAGCCCTCTCAGCACAACTTTTTTTTTCTGAATAATAGTCCTTCCCACAGACACAAAAGGAATAATTAAAGAATACTAAGATTTGGGATATAGAATTAAAGAACTACATTAGGCTAACACACTAACATAATAATAAGTTTTTGATCTAAAACTTCAGCTTCTTTCTATCTTTACAATAAAAGTAATATAAAAAGCCATAAAAATTAACAAAATATAGTAAAAAATAAAAAATATATATTATAATAAAATACAAAAAAAAGGAGTTTAATTGTCTTCAAACAACTAGCTGAACCATGGTCTAATACCAGATTTTTTCCTAAATTATGAAATATACTTAGGGGGCCTTCATATGGTCATTATTTTCTCCTTTACTCCTTTAAGGTCAATTTCATTGTGGGGTTTTGTTGATAGACCGTGATGGTATTTGTGTGCGACTGACACTTTCAAATTAACTTATCCTAGCCATTTCTACTTGTACTAATATTTAAAAGAGGATCCCCACAAAAAACAGTTTATAGATGGCAAACCACATGCATATTTGTTTTTATTGGGGAATCATAAAAAGCTCATTAAATTTAAACCTACATAGTCTTTTACGTTATACGGCAATTTATTGACCAATCTCATAGCCAAAGATGAGGTAATTCTGTGCTTCAAGTATCATTATTTTTTCTGTTTTTTTTTGTCCCAGGCACACATTATATATATAAAATAATATTATTTTAAGACATTTTTATGTTTATACATTCTTTTTATAGATACAAATATTTAAGTAAATGCTCTGTTTTATATTGTTTACATTTGAGCAGATATGAATGTACATGAGAGATTCATGGAAGATTGAAGTTTAAAACAGTAAAATCGACCTTGCCAATTGAACGATTCTCCATGGCTTAATCAGTTAAGGCATATCAGGCTAAATGACGGTTCTGTATAGGATACAGGTTCGATTCCTGTCGGAGAACGAATATTTTCTATGAAAATTTCTCGGACATTCAGGCCGGTAAATGTTACTAATACCATTTATTATAAAACAGAGCATTTATTTAAATATTTGTATCTATAAAAAGAATGTATAAACATAAAAATGTCTTAAAATAATTGTCGAACTTTGTCCATTTCATAAAATTATATTAGTTAAAACTTCTACAGTAAAGGTATCATCTGCACTAATATCTATTTTTTCATTTTATTATACCTTTTGTGGACAAGGACATTTAGATTATATATATATATATATATATATATATATATATATATATATATCCTTTGTCTTTTTAAAGAAATTCAGTTTCTTCCTATTTCACCAAATGATATCAACATATGGGGCTTAATCTCCTAATGGAGTCGGGTTTAAGTTGCACATGAGAGGACAACATACACAGAGACAAAACAACATTTGACAGTCTAACTGTTTGATGAAAAACGAGGTAGGTCAATTTCAGTTGTCCATCAGTTCTAATTATATTAATACGCCTCTTATAACTTCTTTAGAGTTTTACCTAGATGCTTGCACTATATTGAATTTCTGTACATTTTAAAATTACAGAAGTTATCATGTGTTTGTTTTAAGTGTTTCTGTAGTGATACTGGCAAATTAATATGCCTAATTTGCATAAGTGCAAGAGAAAGCCTATATAACTCGTCACTGAGAATAACGTAGGAGGACAAGCTTAGCAACTGACTAGTTCTAAACTTCGACTTCACATCAGTTTCTATGATTTTTTATAACTTTAATGCTTTTAATTTTATTTTATAAAACATTTTCTAGCACTTAAATATGCAAGCATATCTCTCATATCATACATCTCTCATAATTACAAATAGTAAATCTCTTAATATTTTTTTTCAAAATGTGTTTTATTTCTAGATATCTTTCTTATATTTAGACAATGTATTATGAATATTAATCTACTAGCAAATGTCTTTTTTTTCTCTAACCTTTAGAAAATTAATTTTTCATATAATGTTTCCAACTTTTGTCTTGATGCAAGGTCAAAGTGGTAAATATTCTGCTTTCTCTATATAGCATTTTTTTTATATTCCATCATATTATTTGAGGTCACCACTTAATTAATTGCTACGCCAAAGTTGTCTTACACCAAAATGTCTCTGCACTGAAAAGGGGTTGTGCCAAGATGTTTTCGTGTTGAAGAGGGTCTGCACCAGAGAGGACCAATCCTGAAATGACATGCTAAATATGCTGCAGTTGTAAATTTTACCATAATTATTGGAAGTTTATTTACTATACTAATTGTGACTACAACTAATTATTAACACCAGCATAAAAACATCTTTAAGTGTATTCAAAAAACTTAGTAATTAAAAAAATAAACAGATAAATATTAAAATATGACAAGAGTTATAAGTATAAACAAAATATTTTTTTTTTACCCTGACATCATGGAAGACATATTCTGGATCAAAAGGAATACTGTTCTTGATAAAATACTGAAAAGAAAAATAAACTTTATGCCAGCAACTAGAATCAATGAATATATTATTAAATATAAATGCCTGTAAAAATCTCATAGTTTTCCTATTTTAATTTTCTGATGAATCTTAATTTGTAAGTTAATAATTTAATAAACCAATGATGAGTTCCATGACTACAAAATATCTGAGGTAACTACTAAAATATCTAATTTATGATAATCCAATTTAAACACCTACTGTGATAGTGTACGCTATTCAACAACATACATTTTGTCATTTTAAAAACTTGTTTAAGCTAGTTTGTTGTATAGAAAATATCAAGGAATATGATATTGAATACATTAATGTAATAATCTCAGAAAAGGGAGAAACAAATAAACAACTAAAAATTAAAAGGAAATTGGTATGTAAATCCAAATACCATCAAGTATGTAAAATGTATGAAAGGAAAACTAAAAGCAAAGTTCTTACCTCTGTGACATTGGCTAAAAGTGTAATTTCAGGAAGAGCAAATAGATCCATCAGTTGATACATTAATCCCTAAAAATGAAATTAAATAAATTCAGAAAGAAATTTAACCACTATGAAAACATCATATTCTAATGATTGCTACAGTGAGTATGTTCTGTTTATAGTTATAATGTAATGATTTGATAACATTTCCCTTTTGTGGCAAGTATCAGTCAGTTTATGAGAAAATAAATTCAGAACAAGTAATGCTTTTATTAAAAATATACAAACCAAATATTCAGCCCAGTTAAGAAATGTACAAACAGGAAACAGATATGGTTGTATAAGCAAAGCTATAAAATAATCAGGCAATCAATAACAATTATAATTCATCAGAAAGATCTGTAGTATTTACTGAAATTTGTATACATATATATATTAAATAGGGTACATTTACAAAGCAAGAATTCTTTCAAACAAGTTTTATTAATCCATGTAGTTGTTTTTCAAAAGTACTTTTGCTTCACTCTGTTATCATTAGAATTTTTACAGTTTTCTTTTATGCTAACTGATAATGGATTATCAGAAGTAGATCTATTCCACTCATAAATAACATACAGTAGTTTTAACAATTACATTTAGACCTGCTGAAAGCATTTGGTATTTATTATAACTATTATAAAATTAGAATCATGAGAGCTATTTGAAAATACAAGAACACACAATGTTGAAAATTCTTGGTATGTCTCATTGAATGTTACAGAGAGAATTGATTGCCTTAAATAAATAGTAATCTATATGAGAGAGAGGTGAAAAGTCTTGGTCTGTCTCATTGAATGTTACAGAGAGAATTGATTGCCTTAAATAAATAGTAATCTATATGAGAGAGAGGTGAAAATTCTTGGTATGTCTCATTGAATGTTACAGAGAGAATTGATTGCCTTATATAATTCGTAATATATATGAGAAAAGTGAAAAGTCTTGGTCTGACTTACTTTTCAAAATTTGAACAAATAACCAAACATCAGATTTTTTTGCAAGACATTCTTGATTGAGCTGAGAACTTTTTAGTTTCCCTTCATATAGTACCAACACACTCACACATATATATGTGTGTGTGTGTGTGTGTGCATATGACTGAGGTAGATGGCTGATATGCCAATAGGTTCCCAAAGAATAAATAAATAAAATATAAAACTAAAGTAAAATTCTTGTCAAAAGTTATGATTCTATCACATATTGGCTGACAAGTTTAAAATCTTTAGCCATTGTATATACAATTGTTTCTTACTTTTTCTCTGCTTTTGATAAGTGTTTTTTGTCATTCAAACAAAATAAAATATGCTAAATCTTTGGTCTACTGTGCACAAAAATTTAAGAAATAAAATGTCAGTCAAAACTATCTTTGTATTTTCTTTTGTTATTTTTTTTTATGTAGCTTGTCTCATTAGATCATTTATGACTGAATAGTTAGTTCAATCCTCACTGGGTGCCCCATATTTTCAGCCTTGTGCCACATTCTAATGCTTAGAAAATCACCACCATATACATGATGGCTTTTCAATGAGGATGAACTTTACATTTTCCCCCTCCTGTCAATAATGTTATAAGTTTGCTAATTGTGATCAAAATATCTCCAAAAATAAATTGTAAGATTGTGATTAAATTTGTTTCATATGATCATGCTTCCAATTATTTAGTTATCCAAAGTATCATGTAACACAGAAAATAAAAAAGTAAATCATCTCGCATAGGCTGAATCCATTGGAACAGACAATATGACAAATATATCTATAAAAAATTATTTTATAATTTAAAAAATGCAGTTACAGGTATACCTTGGGTTACGTCATTTTGAGTTAAGTCATTCTTGCATCGTTTGTCAAAAAAAATATATGGAAAAATAAAAATCAGGTTTAAGTCATTTTATTCAACTTTATGTCTGTTTGCCACAAATATTGAAGTCATAATATCTCTAGAAAAGCATTAAAAGTGCATAAAATCATGTTACTGTACAATAAAAAAGAATAAAAGTATATAAAATCATATTAAAATATGTACATTTACAGTAATTGTTAATTATCATAAATCCTAGAGAACAAAATATGAAAATATCTGTGACTCTGTGTTGTCGTCTTATTTAGGGGTCTTTAAGAGCTCAATATTGGTGTTTTTCCATGATAGTTCCAATATCTACTGTTTGCAGTTGTTGTCAATGCCACTTGTGATTCCCACAAAATTGAAATCCAGTTTAGTTTCGGCATATGCCCAGTATACGTCTGCTTATCACCTACTCTCATTCTCATTCATTTGTGACTTTATATTTTGCCCCAATGGCTCCTAAGAAAATTCCTAATGCAAGTGCTAAGTATCATGCTATGACACTGGACGATAAACTTGCTATGATAAAACGTCATGAAAAAAGTGAAAAGGTTATATCAATTGCTCAATCTTTCAGAATAAATCAGACAACTGTATCGACGATTGTTCACAATAAAGATAAGAATTTGACATACCAAATCTGATGCCCAAGGGGTGAATAATACTGTTATCAATAAGAAAAGAGGAAAAATCTTTGAAGAAATGGAACAACTTCTTTCTCTTTAGATTGATAGGGTGAATCATCCTCATGCTGCTATTAGTCAAGAAATCATTCAAGTGAAAGCATTGTCTTTGTTTGAGGACCTGAACAAAAAATACCCATATGAGAAAGATGTAGAGTTTAAAGCGAGTCAAGGCTGGTTTATGAGATTTAAAAAATGAAGACATTATCACTCTATTAAGAAGCAAGGTGAAAGTGCATCAGCTGATGAACAAGCAGCAGCCAATTTTCATAAAGTATTGGCTAAGATCATCAAAGAAAACAAGTTTCTACCTGAACAGATTTTTAACATTGACAAAATTGGATTATATTGGAAAATATTGAACATTGTTCTTTCATTGCTAATACTAAGCATAAGACTATATTGTTGATAAATTATTTTATTCAGAATACTGTACGTACATATCATAAATACTGTAGTATGCAACAGGGAGTGCTTATTTGCAGTTTATAGTGTGATTATTTCGACAGTTCATTTTTCAACATAAGTCGTGACCTCTGGAACCAATTAACAATGTAGGGTGAGGTATACCTGTACTGTAAAAAAATGTGTATTTGTAAGTTAGATATTACTTTTTGGTAAAGAAGTAAAAAGAAACTTGAACAGGAGTAGGGGTTTATCCCTCATTTCCTATTTAGGATGTGGTTTACCAGTTCCTTTCTTCCATGGTCTTAATGATTTAACTGTCTTAAGTTTTTTGAGTATCTGAATAATCAGTGGCTGTGACTTCTGATTTTGAGAGTATAGGATTAGCAGTTTTCTGGTTGCTGTATCCCAACTGGTAGTAATGAGCTCAAACTCTTTGATAGCACTTAGAGAGGCTTCTCTGGTCAACAGTTACATAATATCAGGGTATTTGCTGTGCCATGTCATGTATGGATAGATGTCCCTGCATGTACTTCCAGTGGGCAACTCTGAGGCAACATTTTGCTTTAGTCTTAGCCATCTTCTGGACAGTTTGTATTGCCATAGATGATGGACAGTGATAATTACTTTGGTTTTTTTCTTCTCGTGACAGTTACAATTTTAAAAAATATGAGTAAACTAGAAGAAAAATCACCTACCCACCTCAATACAATTAATACAAATACCACAGTTATTGGAGAAAGAATTCTCCAATAACTGTGGTATTTGTATTAATTTCTGTAGTACAGAATCTTTTCTTTAGAAATGTTCTCTAGATATCTTAGCATTTTGCAAGACTAAATTCTTCTATAGCGACCAATGAATTCTCTGTTCCAGGCTATTTTACACTTTGTTGAAAAGATTCTAGGATACATATGCATAGCCTTGGTGTTTACATCCAAAAAAATTGTAAGGGAATTATCTCTTGAGTCTCCAGATGATTCTTTGATGTGCTTTCAATTTTCTTTATTGCACTCTGTTACTTATTTCTTTTTTCCTTTATCGTTCCCCTTCTTTTCCGGACTATATTAGACAAAATATGTTACAATACAGAAATGGCTCTTTCTCTACATTTAAGAACATTTTTTGTGTTTGGTGATTTTAATGCTCATAACATCAAGTGGCTTAAGAATTCTAATGTTACTGATATTGCTGGTATTCAGACTTTCAATGTCAATCATATAGTAGATTTACCTACTCAGTTCCCTAATAATTCTGATCAACATTCTTCTTTACTCGTTTTGTTCCTTAATTCCTCTGTTAGCTTTTGTTATGCATCACAACTCTTTCCTCTTGGCAATTTGGCTCATGCTGTAGTATCTGTTGATATTTCATTTGAGTCATCTTTAAGACTAGAATTCACAAAACTTTTCTGTTATCAGTGTACTGTTTGAGATTCATTTCATATTTTCATTGTGATGCTTCTTGGAGTGAAATTTTTAACCTTCCTATAGAGAAATGTGCCATTGAGGTTTCTTCTTGGGTAAAAATCAGCACATGCTTTTGTGCCTTCTCGGAAATACCACAATCATCTCTTTAGTTCACACCTGCCTGTTCAGTGGCTATAACCCACAGGAATCAATTTTTCCAGCTTTACGAATGTGATAGTTCTGATCAAAATAAATGCCTCTTTTTGTCTGCTCATAATAATTGTAAAAATGTGGCTAAGTTTTTGTTCACTGATAGAATGAGGTATGATATATCTTCTAACAAGTTTGGTTATCATTACAGGTGGTTTTGTTATAGTGTGTTAAATAACAGTAAGTTTTCTATTTCTCCTCTCTTCCCTTAATTTGAAATGTTATCATCTTCTGATAAAGCAGAATGTTTTGCTGGTAAATTCTCTTCCAATTCTACTCTTGACTTTCCACTTAAAACTGATTCTCTACTGTGTGATATGCATATAACTCAATTCATTTTCTGCTATCATCTCTAAAATAGATACTCACAAAGCATTATGGGTGATTATTCACATCATAGCAGCAGAAATTAGCTGCATGCTCAGAGATAGAAACATACTTGACAAGAAATAAAATGTACAGAAATAACAGGAAAGCATGGTAAATTATATGTTAATTTCATACAATTTATTTTTTATGTGTACTGGTGTATTTTTGGTTGTAAATGTTTTATGGTAGATGTAATGAGAGGAAGAAGTTACTTCATATTTTAACACGCTATGTCACAGAAAGAGGTAGGGCACATGTTGACTGTGTGAGGGTTTGTGGCAAAGAGGTTGAATTTAATGTCTTTTGGTGGGATGTCAGTATTTCTGGCAAGGATGCATGCTGAGAGAATTTTTATTTTTTATTAATTTATTTTATACAACTTTTAAATGTTACTGTTTTATTTTATTTATAATTTTCAATATTATTATTATTATTTTATATTTTATTTCTATTTATTTATAATAATAATGTCCCTACAGTATCACTGCAGTAATCCTTAAGAAATATGCTCCTGAACTAGTTCCTGTTCTCTCTAAACTCTACAATAAATGCCTTGATGCTTCTTACTTTTATGCTTGTTGGAACTCATCTTCTGTAGTTCCAGACTTTAAGAACTCAGGTGAACTGTCTAATCTTACTATCAGCCTATTAAACTTCTACCTCTTTTTGCAAATTACTAGATGCTCATCTACCCTGAATTGGTTAAACATCTCACCATGCAGGGTCTTCTTTCAGACAAGCAATATCGTTTTCGCTTCTCTAGGTCAACTGCTGATATGTTAATGGTTATTGCTGAAAGAATCTATCAAGCTTTAAATAAGAATGATGAAGCTCAGGCTGTTATTTTAGATATTTTGAAGGGATTTAACAGGATTTGGTATGCTGGTTTTCTTCACAATTTGAAAGGTTATGGTATTTCTTGATTCATTTTTGATTTGATTCAATCTTTTTTGTCAAATCATGGAATGAAAGTTGTCTTGAATGATCACTCTTCTAATTTTTCTTGTCATTAATATGGGTCTCCCTCAGGGCTCTATTTTTTCAGGTGAGCTTTCCTCCTTGTAACTTTGACTTTATGAATTTAAGTGCAGTACTAGATTGGCAGCTGGGTCTCATCATTGTACAGTTGAAATGGTTAGATATAACCATAAGTTCTATGCTAACAGTTTCTTCTCTCGCACTTCTCACTTGTGGAACTCTCTTCTGGCTTTTTTCTAGTCAACTTTGACCTTCAAAAATTTGAATGCAATGTCAATATATCGAAGAAAACGGTAACTTACCTCGTCAAACCAAGTGACAGTGCATTGTGTTTATTCTATGATGGAAAATGTGGCGAAAAAGAAAATTACTTACCAAACAAAAGGGCATGTATTCCGCATGACATGCTGGAGATGGAATATTTGAATTAAAAAACAAGTCCATCGCAGGAGTCGCTATAAAAGTATTTTGATATGCAAAATACTGAACATCCTCTCCCAACTGTCGACGAATGGAAAAAAATGCGCGACCAATAAAAGCAATTGGTGTTCTCGAATCGGGGAAGCAAAATTCGGGTATTTTGGCTACCGCGTTTGTTGGAGAATGAGTTATTTTTCTGACTGGTTGCGTGCATTGTGATTCATGAGATAGTATCTGCAAATTGAGTTTTCGACATTTCTTTCTGCCCCCGATGTTCAAGTCTGAACTTAGTGATTTATTCTCTGTGACGTGGAAATAATCTGCGACAAACATTTCCTTTGTAATCCCAGATCGCTTACAGTCAATTGTTACCTTTTGTCTTCTTAATTCCTGTTTTTTTATTGTTATCTATCTTTGATAATGTTTTTCTTTTTCTAATTCTTTCACATTCAGCAATCTCTTGCCTTCTAGTGGCTTCATTGCATTGCTTGGAGTGAAATGATTAAATAAAAGGTACAAATAATAATAAAAAAAAAAGAAAGAAAAATCAGAAGAAAATAAAAAATAATGAATGAAAGAAAATCAGAAAACAAAAAGATGGAATTGAGGAAAACAGTTAAAAAATAATGTAGTATAAAAAAGAAGAAAGAAAAAAATTAAAAAGTTAAAAGGAATTTAAGAATGAAAAAAGAAAGAAGAGGAGAAATGAAAATGAAAAATAGAGAAAATTCATGAAAGGAGATACAATGACATAATGAAATAAAAAAAAGACATAACTAAAATGTCTCTTTATCTATTTACCTGTAGACAGTCCCCAACATTATATGATGGAAAGAATCAATTTTCATGAGAAGACCCTGCAAAAAATTAAAGCAAAAATCTTTTTTCTTTTTCTCTTAAAGAAATTAAGTTATGTACAAAGTCAAATCAGAAAGAGAAATCAAGTTTTATTATCTTACTAATTTATTTATGATATCAAAGGTAGAATTTATTAGACAAATCCATCAACATCTTCATTCAATCTAACGATTACATAAATATAGTAAATTCAACAAGTATATATTGGAAATAAGCAAATGTTATTTAATAAATATAACAGTCATTATTTAGCAAATATAATATCAATAATTAAAAACGTTCATCATGGCCTCATAGATTAAATCATTGGTTAAAACATCTTAGGTTCCTTGGCAGTTGTGCATTCAATCCCTGACTTTGATAGTGCTAAAAAGTCACATATTCTGGTTCAGTAGAAGAAACACAAGGTGAATATCTGAGATGAGTTATCTCCCCTATGCATGGAAAACAGAACGAGAACACTCTACTTCATGGATTGGATAAAGGGTTCTGTTCAAAATTCCAAAAAGGTTACTGAGCACAAAGACAGAAAACTTGAAAAAGAATATAACACCAAAGATTAACATGCTGGTCTGAATAATTCCTTATCTCAAAATTTCTGACAAAAGTTGATCAGTTAAAACCCATATAAATAAATATTAAATGATTAACATTTTTAATTCTGCTAGAAGATTTGTACAGTATATGATACATTTTGGCTACCCACACAGAAAAATGTTTACTGGTTTATTCTTTTCATGCAATAAACTGAAGTAGGGGATTATCAGTCAGTTATGTGCCATGCGTGATACATACATAAATAGCAGGACAGACTGTGTTCTATAGCCTTGGATAGCAACTGGTCTACTGTAGAAAGAAATAGCAACCTAGTGCATGAAAAAAATCTGCCTCGTCAGTCATGTATCAAAAGATACATGATCGCCTAAGCATGCATCATGCATGGCACATAACTTATTGAGGGGATTATGTTCATTAACAATGTATGTATGTTTACTACTTTTGTTGATATATTAAAGAAAACAAAATTAGTACACAAATAGATATTGAATAAAATATTAATTTAACTAACATTAACACATTTAGTTTTAAAGAAAACAAAGAAACAAACCTTTCGGACATCATAATGAAGGCCTCTTACAGCAAAATTGGGATCATATTTCATTTTACGAAGACCATCAGGATACTGGGTAAAAAAACAAAATAGTGATATTGCATAATATGACAAAAATTCTCAAAGAAATACCTAAACAACAACAAAATGAATATGGCTTCACAGAACACATATGGCAAAATTTAATTCTCCTGAACTGCCACATTATACTGAGAGGGATTGCATTATGACTGGCAAGAAGATACAAATCATTTTTGAGATCTTATCTGCTTTTAAGCTCATTTTAAACAACAGTTTATAAAATCATTTTGATTTCAAAATTTAATAACAGTTATTTAAATATTCTCAAGTCACTCATCCAAATAAAGGTCAGATTGATTATTGCTTAACTTGAATGGCTAGCTGATGTCAGTCAGTAGGTTATGTGCCATGCGTGATATACGCTTAGGCGATCATGTATCTTTTGATACATGACTGATGAGGCAGATTTTTTTCTCGCAGTAGGTTGCCATTTCTTTCTGCAGTAGACCAGTTGCCATCCAAGGCCCCATCTGTCCTGCTATTTACTCATAGCTGGGGGAGAAGAGAAAAATTCATATCTTTCCCAGGGTATTTGCACGTAAGTGACTGTAATGGATTCGACTGGAATTTGAACTCGACTCCGATTCCTCAATCTGAGCCACAATCCATTACTCCACTGTGTTTCCTCTAGATGAAGAGACAATAATAATAATAATAATAATAATAGCTAGATAATTATACTTATGACATTATAAAATAATAGCAAAATTAGAAGAAACGGTTGACTCCATGGTAGGTGACACTGAGAGCTTGCCGGATGTCGACAACTGGCCGAGTCACCACAATTCTGTCCATTTCTTAAAAAACAAATGTGGTGAGTCCTAGACCCATCTTTTTTCCTCTTTTTTCTTTGACAACATTCATAATTGGCTTCTTTTATATGGTATTACTCCTGCTAGAATGCGATGAAAGCACTGATGTATGGCTGCATTCCTAGTGTATTCATTGAAAATCATATTCAATGGCTTGAGAGACATGCATCATGGTCACTTTATCATCAAATGTTGCATGATACATTTCTAAACATTATATCCAGTTTAGATGAATAGTATTACAGCGAGAAAGCTTGAATATACAATTGAACAATATAGTTACATAATAAAATTAATACTTATAATAATTATTATAATAATAATACTAATAATAATTAATAGTCATTAATTTTTAATAAAATAATGTGGCCAATTACAAATATTTCATCATTTATTACATTGTTATTGTGACTTGTTTCATTACTGGTGGGAAGTTTTAAACATCCTTTGTCTTTTATAGATAATCTCAGGTGATTTATTGGCTAAATAGATTCTTACCTTGCTGTTATAGACCAATGAATCACGGCCCAAATCATAAATGAGATCATGTAATTCAGGTGTGTATGATGCCAAAGTGTAATCATAATCAAAGCCATAAACTTCAATCTTCTCAAGTTGGACTTCATTATTTGCAAAAATTGCTTTACGATTAACATCAGCTGGGAAATCATATTCTGAAAGTAAAAGTAAAAATAATGTAAATATATTTGCTTATTGTCAATGTTTTAATATTTTTAAAAATTATATTAATAAATTGTCATTTTTGTGGTGATATTTATATATATGAGAGGAGAGGGGAGAAATTTCTATTAATCATTTTCATAAGTGATATATATATATATATAAATAACTTATTGTCTTCTTCTTGGAATTTTTTTTCTAAAAATATACATGTATGGGTATTTATATATTTTGCATATGTATGTATATTTTCCACTAATATTATATATATATATATATATATATATATATATATATGAAGAAATATAATTTTAAGTTATACTATATTTATGGGATAAATATCAGAGGTAGAGTGTATGTAAATATAAAAGTGGACACTGAATTCAACACTCCACTCAGAGGCCTGATGATTGTATTTAGAAAGAAACAGTCTGTTGCCTTTGAGTGTTGACTTCAATGTCCACTTTTTACTTATATTATATATATATATATATATACACACACACCGGATGTAACAGCAAAATTGTCCAATTGTTAAATTAAGCTTTGAACCGACATTTTATCTTAGAAATGATTAAAGATATCTTACTGGAATTCTCCAAGGTTTTTATAACACTACTTTGTGCAATAAGAATGTATAATTACTCTCCAAGCTTAACAGAAGGATTCTGTTGAAATTGATCATAAATGAAAATTAATGATAGCTAAGGATTGGAAGCCCATGAAGGATTGAAATAAAGTTAATATATATATATATATATATATATATATATATTATCTCAGGATCATTTTTCAACTTATTCAAGATGATCTTCACCATCTCTAACCTTCTAACTCTCTGTCCTGGAGTAACAAGGTACCTCAAAAGTTTCACATACAATTTCATTTTCAAGTCTTTTTTCACTGCTCTTTGGACTGTCATAGGTGAAACTCCTCTCTCACATGCCAAATGTCTTATGGATTAGTTGGGCATTTTCTAATTGATCTCTTTAGCTCTAAGTTGAAATGATGATCCCGCTTGCTGTTGTGACATCCTAATTCAGTTTTCCTTTCTACTGTTCCCTCTTTTTTAAACTTATTCACCATTCTCTTGATGGTTCTTGAATGGACTTTGAAGATGGAAGCCAGAGTATGAATTTTGGTACCATTACTGAAGGCCTGAATGATATGTTTCCTACCACCATTGCTCAGTTGGAAAGACAGTGGAGCTGACACAAAATGATTTCAACCTGTTCTCTTTCTAGCTGAATAACTCAAAGGGTTTTTCAGTGATTCTTATGACAAATGATATTAAGATGACTAAACGTCTTATGTGAAAACCTGGGAAAAAAAAAACTCATTTAGTGTTTTTTTTAGATATTAAATATTTTGTGGGATGGACAATTATGTTGTTACATGATTTAAACAATTTTGCTGTTACACCCTGTATATATATATATATATATATATATATATATATATATATATATATCAGGTCATCCCATAAGTTCTGTCCGAATTTTAACTTTTTTTAAAATGAACAAAATTTAAAGAGTATTTTATAATGTCTAATGGAGTTGAACATTATTTTTATGTTTAGATGCATTTAAACTGATCAAATTTTATTCCAGAGAACAATAAAATTAAATTTTGTTTGATTAAAACCCTGCTAACATGAAAGTACCCAAAAATTATTTGAGGCACATAATGCTTTATGAGTTCAAGAAAGGAAACTCAGCAGCCGAAGTGGCTAGAAACATTCACTCAGTTTATGGAGAGGAATGTATGAATGAAAGAACTTGCAGAAGATGGCTTGCAAAATTCAGAGGTGGAGATTTCACCCTTGAAGATGAAGATCGAACTGGACGTCCAGTTGAGTTTGATGAAAAGCTTCTTGAAGCAGCCCTTGAAAAAATCCTGTTTTATCAGTTGAGGAATTGGCAGTGGTTCTCAGTTCAAACCATACAACTGTTCATTGTAATCTTCAACAACTTGGAAAAGTTCCTTAAACTTGGAAAATGGGTGCTTCATGAATTGTCAGAAAACCTCAAATCCCGAGCTGCTCTTCTCTCCATTCTCACCAACTTGTTTCACCTTTTTTGGATAGACTTGTGACTGGCAACGAAAAATGGATCTTTTATCAAAATGTTAAGCGTCGTAGACAGTGGCTTGGTAAAGGGGAAGGACCCCAGCCACAGCCGAGAAGGAAAATTCATGGGCAAAAGGTTCTTCTTTCAATCTGGTGGGATCGCCAAAGAATAATCCACTTTAAATTCTTACCACCTAATGCAACAATTAATGCTCAAATATACTGTCAGCAATTAGAGCATTTGAACCAAGCTTTGAGGAAAAAAAGACCTGCTCTAGTGAATTGAAAAGAGGTAATGTTTCATCAGGACAATGTGCAACCCCACACAGCAAGAATCACATCACAAAAGATTGAAGAACTTAGTTAGGAGAAAATTCCTCATCCACCTTATTCTCCAGATCTTGCTCCTTCAGACTACCATTTGTTTCATAGCTTACAGAATCATTTGGAAGAAACAGCTTTTGTAACACAGGAAGAGGTTAAAACTGACATTTGTGAGTTCTTCGAATCAAAGCCAAAAGAATTTTACAGTAATGGAATTAGTAAGCTTGTTAATAGATGGAAGGAAGTCATAGATAATCAGGGAAAATACATTGTTGATTGATCTGTAATTAAATGTAACATTTGGTCACTTGTTTTCTTTATTTAAAATTCAGACAGAACTTATGGGATGACCTGATATATATATATGTGTGTGTGTGTGTGTGTGTATTTGTGTGTAAAAATTCATATATAAATATCTGTGAAAAGACAACATGAATAAAGACAAAAAGAAAAGTTTTTCTTTTCTCTCTTTCTCTACATAAAGACAATAACAAGTAAAAATCCTTGAAGCCTTTTATATAAGACAGTTAAAAGCCCAAAATAAATAAAGTCAACTATGAGTATCAAAACAAAATCCTTAAATGCTTAGGAAAAAAATATTATATACTTATGAACAAAAACAAAAGCTTTATTCCTTTTACAGTGAATAAAAACCAAAAGAACATGTGAACTTTGAAATCTAAAACGTTGCATAAGCAGTAAAAAAAATGAACAGTTTGTTTTAAATTCACAGAAACACATATGCATACTCACAGACAACTTAACCCCTGAAGATGGTCTCAGATGTCATTGAAAGTACTTGGGAAAATAAAAACTGTTCAAAAGAAAATTTTGGTATTTTTCTTACTGAATTTTCTAAATCTACCAAAAAATTAATCGGTGAACTTGAAAGGATCACAACGAAAACTAATCGACATGATACGTCTAAATGATTTAACCAAACCTGTTTGAATGAAAATATGCTGACTAAATATACTCTCTCTCTCTATATATATATATATAGATAGATAGATAGATATTTGCTCACATAAATATACACTTCATCTTCATTAACAAAACATTAAGCACAAACACAGTTCCTCTATGAGTAGAGAAAGGAAAGGCAAAGCCTCAAATCCAACACATGTAGCCATCAAATAACATAGATAAGAAAATCATATTCACTCTTTCAATATACTTTGTTACTTTACACACGAAATATATCTTATTTAGAAATTTATGTCAAAGCCTCCATTTGGAATATTTGGTAAAGTTTTCTTCTTAACAACAAAAAGGTACATAAAATGAAACTTTGATTCATAAAAATCAAATAATGCCCATACACTAACACAATGGACATCCAGGAGTGGGACACACCAAATAATTCCCAAGGACAATTTGCTTTTCTGTATCTAAGCCAGCAATCAAGTCAGAAAATGTGCAAACAATAAGAAACAATAAACATGGCAGAAGAGAAAGTTGGCAGTTGATAGTACTTGGCAGAGATTTGTGATGGATGTGACCAACTATGATAATAGGCATTACCTAATACTTACTGTGGTCTATCACATTTCTGTGTGGAGAATGGTGGCTTGAACTACCCATGGACAATGATACCATATTCTGCAGCAGGGAGTTCAGGATCTTTGTGGAGGGGTGTGGTGTGCACCTATGCTTCCCTGCAGTAAATGGAATAGCAGAATGTTGTCATAGAAGGATTGCAACCAGAATACAGTGCTCCATCCAGGTAGCTATATACTGGTACAACATAACTACAAAAGATGACACCTGCAAATGTGATCCACTCATATGAAGACAAGCACCAAAACTTGAAACAGAGATTACAACCTCATCTGGATAAAAAGCCTTGCAAAACTGGTGCATGACCATGTTTGGGATAGGACAAGTGACCAGGATTATTAGCCAATATTCAATCCTAGGACACCATAGCAAATAAAAGGATTTTAACCCTTCCTAGAGTTGAATACACCAGCAGATGACAACAACAGCACATAATTTCAGATTGGATGTAAGATTGCAATAAACTTGAGTGAGCCAGACAAACCTTTGGAAGCAGAGCACTCAACTGAAGATGAAGCAGAAACAGAAGCAAGACCCCCTCCCTGAAGAAGTACCCAACAAAAGAAACCACCCCCAGGATGCATCTAGTTTGTTTTAGTGATCAGCAGGGAGTTTAACGAAGAATTGTGTCATGACCTACCTTATCAAAAAAAAGGAAATGGCCGTGTGTTGTTTTTTTGTCGGGCGCCATATTGGTAGAAGTTTGAATGCTGGCATGAATAGCATGGCTGATTTGCATTCATTAGCAAATCACTTCACCTAATAAAATTGCTGACATCAAGTGAGAGAGTACTGACATTTCAGCTCTGTACCGTGAAGTTATGTCAGTTGGCAACATGAAAGACTGAGGACTGGAAGCTACTGAACACCCTTACAAGCCACACAGTTGAAATAGAAGGTTTACTACAAAAGAATAAAGCAGCTCATATGTGAGGCTTTAAAATTATTCATCTTGCATATTACAATAAAATATAGCAGTTTTCTTTTCTTGATAGACGATGGCAGACTTTTCTGGCTTTATTCAAATTGATACTTTTCATT